TACCACAAAGCAATTAGATCTTAAGATTTGGTAGCTGTAAGTGCGCCACATTTTGTCTTCTTGGAAACCTGAGTGTATCTGGGCGTCATTTGAACAGTTTGCTTCACATAATACAGATCTTTATTTTACGTGCCTTTTTCTAGAAAAATGTATTGTTTATTCAGCATATTGTTTGACTGTTTTTTCTTAATGATACCCTTGTTATAATGTTCAACAAATTTTAGTGTTTCAGATGTTACTCATCCACCGCCACCAGACGTTACAAATGGTGCAGTCGCTGTCGATGCTCGAGCTCAAAAAAGGCAGGTTAAAGTAAGCCAGTTGTATTGTTGTTGCTTCTTTGAAGCCGGTAGGGAAATGAATGTAAATTTGCGATAGGCCTGTTGGTTTGGGAACCAGTTAAATTTTTATTTCAAATTTTGCTGGAACAGTGTCACGCCCAATTTTTTGTGCTTTTTAGAGGCTTTTATTAAAACAAAGTTTTTAGGTCTATTGAAAAAGTGATTATTATGGTTTTTTTGATTTTGTATTTTCGGCGTTTTCTGCTGTATTTAGGATGGCCAAGGTAATAATCGGTCGGAAGAAATATGTGCACTAGAGTGTACATCTGGTCTTGGGCTGGAAACCATTCCTACCACTTGTATTTCTGGCACCGATAACAGTGATTTGAAAGATCGGGTGGTCTATGCTAATACAGTCACCAGTTATACAGAACAAGATTCTAATCAAGAATATCAAAACGCTATCATTCGTAAGTTTACTTATTTTTTTTTATTTAGTCTGACGGGGTAGAGAGTGGATGAAATTACGGTTTATTTCTTATAGTGATATAAAGTGGACCTCAAATACAGGATAGCAAAAAGAGAAAGTAAGATGTAATGTACATAATTGTTTCGTTTCTTTTAGAATATGATTGCCTGTATTATTTGTTTATTTGAAAGATTATCTTACTGTCTCGCGAGAAGTTACTTTTTTTATCATTCTGCTTTTATATTACTAGAATTAGTTCAGTTTAAATTTCATATTGGCATAATTGCAAAAAGGATCTCGCAATTGATCGCAACAAAATTGGCAGTATTCTAATTTTTTTAAAATTTTAGTTAAAAAGTATAAATTTTTTTCAGCGTTGAAGCCAGCTAAAGTTTCGCTGAAGATTCAACAACTTCTTCACTCTTTACAGGTAATTTTACCTTTAGTTTTAATGGTCAGTCGTCTTTTTTTTTCATACTGTTGGTTTATATTCAGAACGGCGTAATCGCTGGTCTCCCCTTTCAGAAATAGAGAGAAAAGGGGCAGAAGTTTATAGTCGGCGGGTTTTTCTTAGAGAAAAAAATAGGTCTGAAAAAAGTACATTTAGCTTTTGTTACAATGGAACAACAAGGTTGCAATAGTGATCATTAATTCAGTTAACAATGAGGTGTTTGTGTTGTTAGATTAACGGCATGTGCCGTAACGATTTGCTAGTGAAAAATAAGATCAGATTTTTTCTACATTTTCACTTATCACGTCTGTTCGCACATTTGATGTGATTTGGCTTTAAACTGCTTGTCTTTAAAACGTGCTGTTCAATCGTCTTGAAACTTTCTATTGATTATTATACTATACGCAGTTGTCTTCATAAATTTACGAATTTACTACGTTTGTTTTATCCACAACCCTCAAGCTTTTTTCGTTACGTTTTTTTCTCTCCTCTGCTCTTTTATCTTTTTTTTTTTTTGTTTTGTTGAGATAAATCAGTAACTTCAAACTATATTAATCAGCAGTTCTCCGAATGACTGGTCTTACTATTTTCAATCACTGGTTGATTAAGGGTCGGATTTCGATTGTCTATCTTTAGATCATTCACCTAGACAACATTTTTTTCAGTACCATTGTTGTTTTTAGCTTGGAAGTTGAGATAAAAATTATTTGGAAGTAATGCTATATTTTTTTCGTAGCTCATGTGATGGTTTTAAAGGACAGACAGTCTGCTGCAGGTTTTTGATTGATTTGTTTGTCGCGGAGC